TCCCCATAGGCTCATGTATTTCAGGAGTTGGTCACACTGGTTTCTATTTGGGACAGTTTTGCAACTTTTATAAGAGTCTTGCTAGAGGAAGCATTTGGCTGGAAGCAAGCTCTGACTTTTCAGACTCCCTTCACCTTCAGCCTGCTTTCTCTGCTTTCTGTGTGGCTGAGATGTGACCTCTCTACCTCCCGGTCTGGCCTCCTGCTGCCACGTCTCCCTAAGCCACCATCAACGCTACCCTTGGAACCCTAAGCCAAAATACACTTTCTTCCTTTAGTTGGTTCCGGTCATGGCATCTTATCACAGCACCAGTGACGTAACTAACACATATATGCATAATTAAAAAAATAAATCCTGCTGTGTGCAGTGGCACATGACCGTAATCTCAGCATTCCAGAAGGCAGAGGCAGTTGGATCTCTCTGAATTTGAGGCCAGCCTGTTCTACAAAATGAGTCCAGGGCAGCCAAGGCTACACAGAGAAACCCTGTCTGGAAAAACAACAATAAAATCCTTCTTTAACAACTACAGGGCCTGGAGATGGCTCAGTGGTGCAAGTTCCCAGCACCCAAAGGCAGGTCACACTGTGGCCCTCCAATTCCAAGGAATCGATGCCCTCTCTACAGAGGCACCAGACACCCACGCACACAAACTCATAAAAACCCGCATAAATAACTAAGAGATTATGCATAAGTCCTTTAATTATATTATTAAATAATATGTATCTATATTGTACACACACACACACACACACACACACACATACACACAGCTAAAGACATTATCAGAGGCCTAAAAACTTGAAGCCCAGATAACCAATCTTCACTGTAACTTTTTTAATAAAGATTTAAAAACACAACTGCCAGACAATTTTCTCATCAGCAAACAGATTATTCATGATAAAGGTCAGAAAATTGTAGTTTTCAAAGACTAAATCAGGCCTTAGGCCAGATAATTATTAAACTTCTTCGAACATCCTTTCACAGTAAGGTTGAGCAGAGAAACTAGATGCCCTCAGAGGAAAAGAAAAACTGACTTAATCAACTAATTACACTCAGACTGACTTCAGCTAGGTTCCTGATCCCACCCTAATTCCTCTATGAACTGGAAAAATAGAACTGAGCCAGCGATTAAAATACTCCGCCACTGAGGAGGAGGAGGAGGAGGAGGAGGAGGAGGAGGAGGAGGAGGAGGAGGAGGAGGAGGAGGAGGAGGAGCTTATTTCCGCTCCTATCAGGCTAAGCTGTGCTTTGCACTGCCACTAGACAGCAACACAAGAGATGGTGTGTGGCTGCTTCCTCACTGGGGCTTGGTAATTTACTCTGGGGGACACCAACCACCCGAGGTATAAACAATCCAACACTGCTGGCTAGACACAATGAGCCAACCACCCTGGAAGCAGATCCAGCAGCCACAGCAACTTGACTGAAATCCTGAAAGACCCTGACCCACAAAAACTATGTGAGATCCACATGCCTTACTGTCGTCTTAATGTTGGGCTGCAAAAATCAGTGTTTCCTCAGGCTGGGAGCCCTATCTCGTTGGGGTTGTGGTATAGATGTAAAACAGCCCCAACACAACAATTTTACAGGTACACACCCCTCGAATTCTGGCATTACAAAGAGTAAAGGCAGAGGATCCATCCAACATTATAGGGAATATGGCAAGTTCTGGGCCAACCTGGGCTACATGAGACCCTTCATTTCAAAATATAAGAAGGGCTGGAGAGATGGTTCAGAGTGCAGACTCCTCTTGCAAAAAATATTCAGTTCCCAAGACCCACAGCAAGTAACTAACTACTACCTAACCCCAGTTCCAGGCCTTAACACCTCACACTTCAGTGCATTCGTGCACACGCACATGCAGACTTTAAAATGGGGCATCTCCAGAACCATTGCCAAGCTAGATGGCCCAACGCAGCCCGTCCTCTGCCCTCCATTCGCGGTCGGCAGCACACACCCACTCGCATATACACTCAGTACTTTTTAAAGGCTCTTTCCTTAGCATTACAGTCAATTCTCACAGACTCACAGGCCCTTCACCACAGCCGCTCACTGAAGCATAGGGAAGTCATCTCAAGTAACAGCCAACACGAACAGATATTTCCTAAAACTTCTGTAACAGCCAATAAAATAATTATGACAGTTTCAAAATAAACTGGGTTTTTCATCTGCTTTGTCTGTGGGCTGTTGGGTTTCGCTGGGTCTCACCCACTCTGTGACTCTGACTAGCCTCAACCTCAAAGCAATCCTGCTGCCTCAACCTCCGGATAACTGAGACTACAGGCATGTGCCACACTAGGCTCAAATGCAGCTTTTCTGACTTATATGTTAAGCTTATTATGTAACAGAGGGCATGAGGCAGGCATGCTGGCATATGCCCTTTAATCCCAGCACCTAAGAGGCAGAAACAGATCATCTGTGAGTTCAAGGGTCTGCACAGTGAGTTCCAGGACTCTGCGCGGTAAGACCCCGTCTCAGAATGCCCAAGGGCATGGTATCCCGCATACACCCTGAAGTCCAGCATGTATAGCATGCCGTTGTCCTAATGTAAGAGATTACTCAACAGGACATCCTTCATAAAATCTAGTGAAAAGCAGCACTGAATTCTGATGACATTTATGAGCAAGATCTTCCCGTTAACTTTTCTTACCAATGTTTAAAGGAAATTCTTCCTCCAACCTGAGCACACACAGCTCACAAAATTTTCCCCGAAACTATAAGCTTAAAGGGTAAGTTCCAATCTATTACATCTTTTTTTGTCCACTGTCCTTGTCACACTGGAACTAAACGCCTGCTTTTATGGCAGTATCTCAGCAAAACACAAACCAGATCTTGATTAATACAAGACTTCACACAATTATTTACTCATAACTTTTGATGAATCCACTCAGACTGCTATCATTTTAAGTAAAACTAGTCTGAACTCCCGATTTGCTGCATTTATTTTCAAAACACCAAATCAGTAATAAAACTGCAAGTTATTATTCAATATACAGCAGGTGTACTCTTCTGTCAACCAGACATATTAGACAGAGGTGACAGGTGGCCCTGGCGCTGTCCTGAGCTACAGTAACTAGCACTTCTCTGCAAGGGCTGTTATTTGCCCCTGTCTTTCCATACAATGCTTCCACTTAGACAAGCTGGGGGAAACCAGACAGCGCCCCAACAGGCCCCTTAGGATACTAACTCGAGATGGGGACTGAAGAAAAATAAAGTAAGCTGCACACTTGTCCAAAGTCAAGCAGGCTTGCCTATGCCTTGAGAGCCAGCAGCAAAGCAGCCCAGTTCTAATTTGAGCAGCAGCTCCTTAGGCGACTACGATGCTCTCGACAGCACATTCATAGCAGCAGCTCCTGAAGGGGCAGGGATGCATACTCAGCACCAGCTTGTTCCTGTCAAACTACCAATTCCTGGCAAAGTCTCCTCAGGACTCAGGTGGGTGAGGCGTGTTGCACCACATACATGTATATACACAAGTACAATGCCAGCACTCCAGAGGAAGAGGGGGGGTTGGGGCAAGTTCCAAGCAAGGCAAGGTTGTGTGGCTTTTGAGATTCTGTCTCAGAAAGCAAAGATATTCTTCGGTCAATCCACCTTCACAGAGAACTCCACAAGCACAACTTAAAAGAATGAAGAATCTGAAGCTCTTAATCACGACTCTCTCCACAGAACAAACCAAATTCACTTTGGTCTCTTACAAGAGGAAACAGACCAGTCACTGCAAGGAACCAGGCATGCCAATGTGAAGGCCAACATTGCCGGTTTACTGATAGTGCCCTAGAACACTCAGGTCAGGGTCAGGATCAGGATCTGTTTGTGGAGGCAAACTTTTAAGCACTCCACAAGCCATTCATCTAGCTGATCAAAGTCTAGGAAAGTTCAAGGCAGGTATCCACTCGACCTATTACTCACGCCGTGCAAGACTACAGTTACACAGATGCTTATGTCTTCAAAGAAATTAGTCATCAGTAGCTGTACATACAACTGGATTGCTGTCAATCCAATGAACACTGTCAGTGTGCCGGGCATGATGCTATGGTACCTGACTTTCAAAACCTAATAGGTTTGGCATCAAGATCCTTACAGACTACTGTTTGAAAGCCAAGTGTAGTCTGGAAACCACTGCTTCCACTCACTTAGGAACCAAGCCTAAAATCAAGGCTATGTGAAATAAACCATTAACACGAGCCCCCAAAAGGGATAAAACTGTACTTACTGAGACACAACTCCTAGCAAAATGGCAACATAAAAAGTAAACTTTAAAACCTCACCAGGGAATTCCAATTCCCAGCCATGTTACCATGTTTCAGTATCTCCCAGTTACAGCTCACAGGATGGCAACTCTGAATCCATTCCACCAGATCCTCAGAAACCAAAGTCAACCAAAGAGCAGTGTCCTGCCCAAATGCTCACACCGCGCAAAGCGCCATAAACAAAGCTCAGCACAGGGAAATAAGCATCCCACCCAATCCTAACCGAAACATCTTGGCCCACAGTCGCCCATCTAAGGCAGCACCTCGACCCCGCTACACAGCGACAGCGACTTCTCTAGGACTTTCAGCCACCACCGGTGGCAACACCGTCGGTGGCCGACGACAAGCCACTCTGTATCTCAGGACGAAAAGCTAACGAGGGGCAGTCCTGGGTCAAAGGCAGAGCCGAGAGATGTCAGGCATCCCTTGACAGGACCGGCATGCATCTCCCTCTGCACCCCGAAAAGACCGTCTGCGTCCGCAGGACTGGTCCTACCTAAACACTCTGTAAACAAGGGGGTCTGGTCTGGCCGCCGGCCTCCGGGCCGACCGCTGCGGAGAAGTTTCCTCGCCTCGGCTGCACATGGCTTGCAGAACTTTGGCTGGGGCCGCGAGCCCAGGCTGGGTGGGAGCCGCAGCGCCGAGCTGCAGGCGACGGCGGCGGCGGCGGCGGCGGCAGAGCAGCAGGAGGCGGAGGCGGGCGGGGGGAGGGGAGCGGCTGGGGGGGCGGAGGGGCTCTTGCCGCCACTGCTCTCTCGCCGCCTCTCCCCCCCGGCGGGAGCCGCTCTCAGCCTCTTTGCACTAGTCGCTCCGCTCTCTCGGTCATGTGACCTTAACGTAACCGGACAGGAAAAGCCCCGCCGCCGCCGCCCGCCGCCGCGCCGGAGACACCGACCGCGGCGGCAGCAGCAGCAGCAGCAGCAGCGGCGGCAGCAACGCGGGGCAGAGGCGGCGGCGGGGACAGTTAGGCCAGGCCGCCCGGCTCTGCCTCCCCCCACGCCCCGCCGCGGCCGCACCGGCGACAGGTAAGCGCGCACCGCCACCGCGTCCCGGGCCCACGTGCCGCCCCCGGCCCGGGCTCCGTGAAGGCGCAGGGAGGGGCGGGAGCCGCCGGAGCTCGCAAACGGTTCCGGCAGCGGCCGTGGCAACAAAGGCGACGAATGACTCCCGTCCCGGAGCTCCGGGAGAAGGCAGGCGG